GAATTAAACATATTTAAACATGCAGAGAGATTCCATAGAGGGACCATGATAATGACAACTATATACTTACATGTCCCTCTAATACATAACAACCCCTAGTGGTAAATATCAACCCAAATCATAACATGACCTACATCTGCGTTCTAATTTTAGCCGCTACTGAAAACGAACACCAACGGTGAACACTGAAGGTATCAGCAGCCACTCTTGTCTTAATATGACTGTAGTGGTAAAAGCAGCACAACCATCTGCAGCACTACAAAGCCACTGATTCAGTGTTTGGGCTTTCACATGGAGGAAGGCCTATTTGTTCAGCGTCACCTCATTACCATAAAACAGAATTTTCCTTATCAACGACTTAGAAGGGCAACTTACACAAAAGGAGACAACAAAGCTCACACACTTGAGTGTTTTTCGATGTTTTCGGTGCTTTATAGAAATGATTTATTGCAAAATATCTATCACTATGACCTGTATGTCTAATGTGAACTACATCTCTGCATGCTGTTTTGGGTAAAAACTATCCAACAGCACCAGGGTTTTATGCGACGTGCAATTGTGCATCTGGTACACACAATTGTACAGAATGGATGCAGGAAAAAAGTCGCTGTGTCTTCAGGACGTACAATATTATTCATTATACCGACAACACATCTATGACTTTGCTAAGTGTTTAGATGTTTTTTTCAGAGCAGTTACTTGCATCATTTCATTAACCTGTTCACATGATCAATGATTCATTCATGGCGCTGAAGAAATTATCAAAACATACAATTTTCTACACTGTTCAGAGCTACAGATAACTTTTTGGGTCAATGAGTTATGTACTCACTTGTGCTCGTCTCAATGGGGTATCCTAAAACACATAATTGGGAGTTCCTGGCACCCCCATGTTTGTGTGTCAACGTAAATTCCTGCTGCACAATGATGGAAATGGTCAACATAAAATTTTCATTAATTCAGCATGATTCCATATAAAAACCAGTATACGTTACACTCAGGTTGACAGAATAACTAGAGCACCAGTAGCAATTTAAGTTTATGTACAAATTTGTGTACACTGAAACAAAGGTGTCTCACACATGTAGCTTATGTCATATACATAATTTTTGACACTAAGTTTTCTCACAAAGCTAATGGTTTAGCCTTAGTAAAACCAGAATGACAACAGATATATCCATCACTCAGTTCAAACAAACCTACATCACGCCAAATATTTCATACAAGGTGGACATGGTAAATATGCATCAACACATCTAAGGTCATTGACGGATCATGCTTCATCCCAGATTCAATACAATTCCTTTAACATGCTCGAGTGTGTGGATGTTCTAAACATTGAAATATTTACATTAATCTTCACCATAAGGTATGACTCGCACTGTTACAAAGGAATCTACAAGCACTGTATTTGTAAAGCTTTGAAAATTTCCCCACCATACACAACCATGAATAAACAAACATATATATTCAGGTTTCAACTGCACCATAGAAGCAACCAAGCCTGAAGATGTGAGGTGATACCCTGATTGTACTAAAGTACAAAAGTATGAATAGAATTGCAAGTGTCAAACACAACACAAACAGGGCCTTATTACGTAGTCAATGTTAAGGATACATTAAGTCATGGTTCACATTAAAGAACAACATGGTGGACCACTAAATGAACAGTTTTACAAAATTATTGATACAGAATTTGGTTGAGTACTTACCCATATGGTATCATTCCTACTGGGTATCTGATGATTTTCTTGGCTATTCAATATTTCTTAACTAATTCACAGTCAAGTCTATTGGGCACCTGGCCACATTTTATGTTTGTTTGTTGTTCCATGCCACACTGAGCAATATTCCCGCTTTATGACGGTGGACTGTAAATAACATCCAAGAGATTGACATCATGAGCATCGGTCTACCAAATCAGGATAAAAGGATCCATCAATGCTTAATCTGAACACCTGATCCTATCAGTAGCTTCTTATGACAAGCATTGTTTGCTGAAGACCAATTTTCCAAGGGTGTCACTTTCTGTATATGTTCACAAAGGTTGTTTCTATTTTAGCCTGTTCTTTACAAACATGAGAGCAAAGAAGCTATTGCTGGTGTTATAATTCTTTAAAATGCCAAAAAGATGGAATACCAAATCAAATACTTTGTTAAAACAGACAGACAGACAGATATTTATTCAGTATAAAGGCCACTGGCCCAAAATACAATCAATTCGACATATACATTCTGCGAATTGTACAAAATACATTATAAAACCATGGAAAATTTATATATAATAAGTACTTATTACTCGTCAAAAACTTGCTGGACCTTATATAAATATAAGGAAAACAGCTGTAAACAATCCCTGTTTCCTATGGCATATGCATAAGGAACCAAAACATTTTTGTTTGACATTCAGTGATAACCCATAACTCAAAAAAACAACATAAATCATTCAAATGTTCAAAGATGTCAGCTACATGTATGCTGGTGATACACTTTTTGAATTCATAATAAACATAATAAAGAAAGTCAGGGACAGTAAATTGACTACTGCGACATCAGCCACACATATGAGCATTGATCTGAATTTCACTGAACCAGTACAAGATTCCCCCATATAAATCAATCAGAACCAAATCGTCATTACATAAGGTCATCCTAGCCATATGATATCAGTCTGATGTATTCCGGGCCCCATTCCACAGTGCTACAAATGTCCTGAGTCAATGATAAGGTACATGAGTTAGGACTCTTCTTAGAGCTATGATGACTTTATAGAACTGTGCCTTGGGCTTTGAGGGTATCCGATTACATTCTAGAAAAATATCAATCTTCAGAAATGTATTCCCCAAAGTATGTACTCAGTGAAACACAGTCTAAAATTATATGCTGCATCTATTAAAACACATATTTGGGATTAAATTATTATCCTTCATGAAGCATGTTGCGACACTACACTCACGAAAAACTACCTTGTTTGCAAAATGTTCTAAACTGAAAAACTCAGCCATGAAATTAAAGACTTGACAATACACATGATTAACTTTCATAAATGAATCATGCATGTGCACACTCCATCCCTGCACAGATAATGACAGTAGTTTATTACAGCTATTCAACCATTCAGTTATACAATTTAGCTGTTATTCTGATAAGAAACTTTATAGCAGTGCGTGGCAAAATCATATTACTAAGCACAGCTGCTACAGGTCAACTTCAGTCAGTGTTCACCTTGACATGACTGCAGTGCCCTCACTGAAACATGTGGAATATTGCTCACAGCTAATTCAGTAATGAGTTCTCCTCTGACACACCTTTCACTACATAGTTTCAAGCAGTAAAATGTTTGGCCTCAAAACATCAACACTCCAAGCAGCATCTAATTTCATTTAATTATAATACACAACAGCTTTAAAAACTGGTGCAAGTCCAGTAGCAACTACATGCCCCTAACACGACCAATTTTCAAGGCTAGCATAATTAGGTTTTCCTGTATACATCTTACTGAGCCAGTGACTTTAACCAGAGACCATATGATATATTATATGGTATCTGCTTTAACATGCTAAATGAGGTAGATTCTACCACTCTCTGAAAGTCATTTGATCAAAGACATTGCGACATGATATACTAGTATACACAAATATTTTAGTCTAGTCCTGATCAATATTTTGTTTGTTTTAAATAAGCCACATAAAACCTTCTTCATAAAGGATATACAGCCAACCAGTTTCTCCTCTGAGAAATCTGTGTTATATATCATACCTTAATTTATGAATATTTACTACTCAATTCCTTATCAATAATCACTGGCATTACACGTGAAGACATTTATGATCTGATTTTAGGAAAGAGTGATATGGCTTGTTTCAACATAGCAGACTCCATTTGAGTTGAATGATTTTTACAAGTATACAGCTCTAAACTGGTAAAATTCAATCTTTTCTAGATTGAGATCAGCATAAAGTGGTCCACATATTAAGACTGAACCATACAGAAATAATGATTGATAACGTACAAGCTCATACTATAAGAACATTTTTACACATTCTGGGTCACTACACACAATGAACAGTCTTTTCTGACCATCCCATATTATGTACAAGATTTAACCACATGCAAAACATAGATTACCCTTTCCTATCAGAACTGTGGGAATTTGTGTCTGAAGATAATTTACAAATCATTATATCCTAACATAGCTAACAACTGTAACATTATTAGAAATAACAGTTGAAACATACACTGACCTTACTTCAAACAGAATAATGAAATTAACAATGATTTACTACCAATATTTAGAGAAAAACACTAGTCTTTAAAGAATATAATGTGTCCATATTTATAATATATTCCAAATAAATTCATCTGAAAATCTGGTCATAAATGCAAAACATCCAATCATACTGCCATGATCAGAATCATGGACCAGCTATTGAGAGTAATATATTAGGTTAAAGTAAGGAGTATATTTTCTTAGCAAACTGACATTCGTCCGAAGCTAAATGATAGCTTGTCCTTCCATATGGAAGGGTAAGACCCAGTTCAGTTGTTATACATTCAAAAATATGCTACGTCTGTGACTTGAGATTTATACATGACTGTAGTAAACATGCGAATAATATCATAAAACGACAAATGAACCTAAACAAAACACGATGGAGACCAAGCAAAACCGAAACGTCTCATGGTCCGATGTCATGAGTGAAATCATGGCTGCCAAAACTGCAGTCGATCACGTTCGGCATATGTGGCTGCGTATTTCTTTTCAGTGGCTCAAGAGCCCCTAAAATTCTATTTCAAGGGCCCACTTGTATAGGTTGCACCATGTAGGAGATGTTGTGACGGTTTTACATGCAATTTTCTTTCAATTTCCACAAAGAAATCAAAACCATCTGATGTCAATTTGATGACCCAAAATGACAGAAAATGCGAAGTCTGCAATTTAACCGAGATTGTTAGGGAGATTCTCGCCAAATATAACAATGAATAAAAATATAACTTACTTTGATTTTAGAAAATTCTTCTATCGCTCTAAGAGCTGAATCTGTTAGCTTGACGTGAATTACAGTTTTGTTGCCGATGGAAGAATCGTTTGAGATGAGACCATACTCCTGTCCTTCCACCAGCGCAGCCATATTGGTCTGGCTAGCACCTCGATCTCAGTTGACCTATCAGACAACGCTTTATAAAAACGGACCAACCAAATCAGGCAATAGCGGTTTCGGCCGAACTCAACATCCGCCGTTATTTTTAGCTATCTCTGACGTCACGAGGGAACCCGGACAAATAACCAGAGGGATTCTCCCTAGCAATACCGTTGATGACGTAATTCAAGAAATCCACCGCCTACCACTTTAATACGCGCCATCTGATATTTGAACTAATCTTAATTAATACAGCAAGTACAGGCGTTTATCAAATAGTGTAAACAACTCTGCAATCTTCTTAAAAAAGACATTTCGAGACTTGTCATTGCTTTATCGTCGTATATATTTGTATTTACATGTTTTCGAGACAATTTTCCTTGTATGAAGGTAGAAAAGATCCCATGTATTACCCTTACTAGCCTTCTTCACAAGGTATAAAATGAATATCCGTCCATCTGTAGACGTTATATGTTGATTGAAGGTTCATAAATGGATGTCCTTCAAACAGAGTTCAGCTTCTTTTCTTTTCATTTTTTAAAAAACATAGTGGTTTGTGGTAAATTTAAACATTTTCTCTTTCTGAGCACATAACACACAGTAATGGTGCCGTATCGAAGATTATCCTACCCGATCAAGGTTGGTATAACTATAGGAGTGAACTGGAAGCTCATGTCAAAACAACTTGATTTATAAGAATACGAGTATTTAGCAAGAAGCGGTCATCCATGCGGAAAACAACCTACAGAAAGACACAAACCATCATTCAGTGTGATGTGCTTTGAAATATGTATATCGCCATTCTGTTTACGAAGTAAGACGATTGAAATACATAATACTTTTAGGCTATCTCACCTATATCAGCCTAGATACTAACCTTGTATATTGCCAAGGGCGAACACTTGTCTTGAGAGATAAGCCTTTTTCGAGTCCTTTTCTGAACGAATAATTTAGCCCGTATAAAAGCGTGAGCAGACAAACCAGTGATGGATGGGTAAAGTTCCACGCTGCCGGATACAATCAATTTCAAGATTTATGCTTTCAAAATATTAAGACCCGTGAAGGTCCGGGTTAGAATTAGCATTCAGTAACCCGTGCTTGTCGTAAGAGGCGACTAACGGGATCGGATGGTCAGACTCGCTGACTTGGTTGACACATGTCATCGGTTCCCAGTTGCGCAGATAGATGCTCATGATGTTGATCACTGGATTGTCTGGTCCAGACTTGATTATTTACAGACCGCCGCCATATAGCTGGAATATTGCTGAGTGCGGCGTAAAGCTAAACTCACTCACTCACTCATAACATTAAACTGGACAGTTTTGTCGATGGTAAACAGTAATAGGTGGGAGCAGAACCTCACACATAATCCGTGGGAGCAGAACCTAACACATCAGAGATCAACGTCACGGTACAGATATACTAGAAGATGGATTACTTCAAATCAACTGCGCCTCACTATCTGTTCCATTCAGTTGTCTCTGATGCGTCAGTCACTCGATGCTGAGGACTAATATCTAAGAGTGAGTGTGAAAGCTGTTGACAAGTCGTTCATCCACCTGCTAAACAAAAAGATATGAACTACAATATAATTTCAGAGATAATATCTTAGGCATTGGTTGTAAATGTAATTTGGCAAAAAATATTTACAATATTTTGGTGCATTTAAATCCATAAACGAAATAATTTAACTGTGCATTAATGGTAGGATAGTCCGGGATGACATTTCCTCTACAGTCGCCCTGCATTGTTATGATATAAATGACGAATGTTTCAACGGCGTCAACCAGCGCAGGTCTGCGACATCACACAGCGGCAACCGCGTACACCGGAACTGGGCCGCTTGATCCGATGGCGTGCGGTAGCCTCTACAGCTGTTAGGTCACTGCCCATTTCAGTAATTACTCTGAACAAACGCACTTGTTTCACTTCATTACTGTATTATCTACCGACTGTTGTCACTATGTACACCCCTCTGATGTTGCGCACGCCGTGTTTCCTCATTAGATTAGTTGTTTATTATATAAATTGTATATCGAATATTATTATAATCGATTATAGAAATGCACCAGCTAGATGTTTATAGTGTGACTATACTCACAAGTATATAGTTATTGGCTGCGGTTTGCAAGGATAGGTCGATGATGCATTTATCACCCAAGGACTATATGTAATGACATAACAAACCTTCATATATATATATTGACGACGTTAAACAACTTCTTTATTTTGAGGAACAGGACGTTTCGGAGTATATTCTTACTCCCTCATCAGGTGAATGATGAAGGAGTCAGAATATACTCTGAAACGTCGTGTTCCTCAAAATAAAGAAGTTTTCATCCATAAATTCTCCCCCTTATGTGTATCACGTCTAAATGCAGTTTAAGGCTCTATAAAAGCCCTTTATCCGTTATTTTCTTGAAGTTGTCTGCTTAACATATTGATTGCAAACCATAACCACATGGATATCTTTCAACCCGCCTTACTAAGAAAGCGTAATCCCAAATATTACATGTGTTGCATAAGACCACTTTCAAAAGGCACAGTGAAACCATCTCTCTTTTTCTCACCCGCAGGATGACGAAAAATGGATTAGAATTAGACGGGCTTACATATTAATATATATGTGGTAGAAACACGAGAATGAAGATTGCCATAAAAATAAACTTTACAGGATAGAAACGATATCATGTAAAACAGAACGAAAGATGTACATGCAGTATATGAGCCTTCTTTCTGATCGATCTCAGTTGATCTCGGTTGATCCCGAACTTCCCCGAGTGTTCCTGAGTGTTGCCTTGTGCGCAGTCTAATGTCAAAAGTGTAGGATTACACACCATGTGCCGTGTAATCAGTTATTGATCAGGCTGATACCGAACCAGTTGAACTGTCAGGTGACACAAATACATATGTCCGCTGTGCCATATATGGTTCAATGCATGGGACATTCAAATTTTCTCAGCATAATATTATTTCCATCAATACATATATCAAATATGCGAACGTTTTATGTACAGTTAATATATATAGAATCTCACCCAAGTGTCTTCTGATATCAATTATATCAACACGAGTTGATAAAGTTACAAATATCCGAGGCTTGCCGAGGATATTTTAACTTTTTATCAACGAGTGTTGATATATTTGATATCAGAAGACACGAGGGTGAGATTCTATTTATCATCCAAAATCACTTTTCATTAATTTTCAATGAAATATGTACATCTCTCAACACGGTACTGCCATTACACTTGCAGTGCAGTGATGTCATAGCATTGTGACGTCATCAAGTACATGACGTCATAGCATTGTCAGGGCATTGTACAAAATCTACTGTCAAAACGATATCTCCTAGGAGATATCGTTTGAACTCACACAAGCGATATCTCCTGTGGAACACAGTTTTGGATGATAAAATTAACATTCCGACAGTGTTAATTATCTGAGACGCTTTCTTAAACACTAATTATATTATGTTTTCAGCATATGTTGATTATTTGAAAACTGAATGTGTGAGCATTATTGCACGTTGAGATGCCCCAAATACAAACACACAATCTGACACTGTCTTGCTTCTGCCTGACAGCGGATGGTGGTCGGGTGGTCGGGTACAACAAGGGTGACTGAGTGAGTTTAATTTTACGCCGCTTTTAGCAATATTCAAGCAAAACGGGGAACACCGGAAATGGGCTTCACATTGTATCCATGAGGGGAATCGAACCCGGGTCCGCCACCCAGTACAGGAAAAAAAGCAGGTGAAGAAGAAATTAATTTATTAAGATTTCAAGTGCTGTTCAGTTCCAGTTAGTTTCAGTGGGTGGAGAACACCCGGCTTCATGAACGGGAGAGACGTTGAAACAGCCTGGCGGGAGGATACAACTAGATATTGTTCAAAGGAGCCTTCAACCCGTGCACTCATAACTGGTGGTAGACATCTGTATATAACTATGTGGTGCGGTGCATGACGATGTTCATGAATGTACGTGGCCTTGTTGCACCAGCTTGTCATCATGACCCTGAAACAAATATATCTAAGAAAGCCATGCGAGTTTAGATTAGATTTCCACAGTTTCTGAAAATGAAGAAAATCTCAGGGCTCCTTTTCATTATATTTAATTTTGTTATTATGAACTGTTTTTTTCTGTAAAATTTGTTCACGTCAGAGACTAGTTGTTCGTCTATTGTTGCACATACCTGGCACGAGCTGAGCTCTCGCTGGTTTCTCGTGTTATCGCGGAGTTATGCCATCACACTAACACTGATCATGTGAGTTGAGTGTGATGTACATGCCTAGATCCAGTGATCAGTGATAGGTCTCATTAAAGGACAGGACTCGGCAAGTTCCCTTTTCACTCCCAACCACTGCATGTTTAAAACCTGACAAAAACGATAACTAAATTACCATAAAAGCTAAAATGTGTACATTAATAATCCCTTTTAAAACTTCTAACCTTAGAATGTAGAATATGAGTAAAACTGTGACCCCAGTCGTTATTCTTCGACGTAAGTAAAGACAGCAACACAACATACGGCAAAATCAACTTGGAATATAAACTGGGGACAAAAGAAATATACCTCTCAAATGACTTTGTCGTATGTTTGGTTTCCAGTTGAAAATATCTCTAAACGTCTATATCTCTGATGGCCACTTATTGCATAATGTTTTTTTTAATTTAAAGGCCTATTTCTATAAATATCAAAATCCCGTTGCTCCAGTTCTACTGCTGTTTGGTTTCCATTTGAAAATATCTCTAAAAGTTTACATCTGTGATGGCCACTTATTGCATAGAAACTATTTCTATCAATACCAAGAACCTGTTCCTCCAGTAACGCTGAAAGTACAAACTGTCTAGCTGATCATAGATAATTCTGGCTTTGCATGCATGACGTGTATCCCGTACACCTTTGTGTTACGGGTCGGTGGGGCCCGGTATCAAACTCACGAGACTGGAGCTAACTGCCCCGGGGTCGGTCTCAAAACTCATAAGAACTGGTGCGTCTCTG